TCTCAGGCATATGTATACTTTATAAACGAGGAGTGAAGAAGCAAAAAGAAGTGTATCCTGTGGCTAACAGGTACATGGAATGTGCTTGACCTCATCAGTCATGAGTAAAACCACAAAAACACAAACTTCAGAAGACTGAAGCAAAAAGAATGACTAATATCACAGAAGTACCAAAGATATGGTGAACAGTTCCAATCATATTAAGTTTAAAAAGAGGTAAAATGAATCTGCTATTAGAAATTAGAATAGAACTGCTTCTGTGGAAAAGGCAAGCAAGCATATGAGAAGGAGTTGGGGGGAATGCATGAAAGGAAACTTGTAGATTACTGGTGATATGGTTTCTTGGCTTGGTTGGGCAAGTTCTCTTTCTGATGAGTCACTTAACTATTTGCACTTAGAATTTGTATACTGTTCTGTAGGTAGGCCCTACTTAATGATAAGTATTTTTAAATGGATATTGCCATGTAAAAATGATGTCCATTTAAAAGGAAAATGTAAACAAACCTCTGAGGTAACAACTGTCATTATTACTACTTTATAAACAAGGGGAAACCTAGCCACAGCACAAGCTAAGGATAACATGGCCAAGATCCCATACAAATAGTGCTAAAGACAGGATTAAATCACAGCAGTCTGACTCCAGTCAGACTATCCTTAGCTTAGTCTTTGGCGCTTAGAAGCACCTTTCTTTGGGCCTGGCTTTCTTCCCTTAATATAATTTTATCCAGGTCTTTCCATTTCCTTATGAATAGGACAATGTTATTCTTTCTGATGGAAGCATAGAATTCCACTAAGTATATATACCACATCTTGATCCATTCATCTACTGAGGGGCATCTGGGTTGGTTCCATATCTCAGCTATGGTAAATAATACTGCAATGAACATGGTTGTGCTGGTAGCTCTAGTATGGCCTTGTTTGTGGAGTGGAATTGATGGATCATAGAGGAGCTCTATGTTTAATCTTTTGAGGAAACTCCATACTATTTTCCAGAGTGGCTGAACCAGTTTATACTGCAACCAACAGTGTAGTAGCATTCCCTTTTGGCCACATCCCTGCCAGCATCTGTTGTTATTAGATTTTTTTTGGAACTAGAATATGTATATGACATTCTTAGCAGAGGATCACAATAGCCATAGTGAAGCAAATTAAAATAAACTCCAAGAACTAGAAATAAGAGGTTCTTATTATGTCCCGCATGCAGTTATTTCTATTTTTTCTTTCTGTTTTAGTTTTCTTTACCCTTTGTCTTGTATATAAGCCTATCTGATCCATGGAAGGGAAAGGGAGTCAGAGAAACAACTGGACAAAGGATAAACTAATGCAACAATGATACTCACTAGACACTACATTGGAAATGGCCTTTACAACTTGGGGGAAGGAGAGTGGTTGGTAAGCAGGAGAAAATGAGAAAGGGGATAACAGCATTTAAAAAGAAATGTACTCATTATCTTACTCATGTAACTGTAATCCCCATTCATTACCCTTACAATAAATTTTTTTTAATTAAAAAAAGAAAGCACTAGCTGTGAAGGTGGCTCAGTGGTAGAGTGCTTGCCTTGCATGCATGAGGCCCTGGGTTCGATTCCTCAACACCACATAAGCAGGAAAAAAAAGCTGAAGTGGTACTGTGGCTCAAGTGGTAGAGCGCTAGCCTTGAGCTGAAGAGCTGAGGGACAGTGCCCAGGCCCAGAGTTCAGGCCCCACGACCAACAAAAAAGAAGAAGAAGAAGAAGAAGAAGAAGAAGAAGAAAGAACCTTTCTTTATTATAGATATTTAAAAGCCTTTGCAAACAAGACTCTAAGTTGAAAGAAAACAAAGAGCACAGTCAAATCAAGCAAAGGGCCTTTACTAATGCCAATCATTGATTACTGCTTCCCAAATCTGATCTAGGGAAAGCAATAGGTTTGTTTCCTTGGCTAGCCAAGTGTCCTCTGCTTTTATATTTACATAAAATGTTCTACAAAGTCCAGGAGTTGTTATATTCATCTCCTAAAAACTAAATATAATTGACAAAAATGACAACCCAGGTATAATATTCTAAGAAGTGTTTCTCTTTAAATGTGTTCAAATTCTTAACAGACAATAATAAAACCTTACTTTTATTTCTTACTTTACATCATTTTCTACTTCCTATTATTTTAACAACAGTGCTTAGCACTCTGTAAATCACAATGAAGAAGAGCATATTTCTTCTAGCACCAGCAGAACAAATTCTTATTACCTTTCTCTCATCTCAAGCCCAGCTGGAAAATAAGAGAATAATAAAATATTTAATGATGTACTTCATGTGAATCCAGTTTAGTAAGTGCTATCTTGAAAAGACTTGTTTTAGAATATATGGTAGAGGAATTCTGTTTAATATATTCTCAACAAATATGAAACACATTAGTTATAAAAATACATGTGAGTTCCTGGTGAAAAAACCAGCATTTGAGCTTTATAGGCAAGCAAAAGAAAGATAAGTTTCATCACTATTCTGAAATTATGACTGGAAATATATGTCAATTTGGAAGATTTTTCTTGAACAATGCTAGGTATACTACTTAATCAATATTAATTATATTATGTACATGACAAACAAGCAATAGTTAGTATCAACTGATGTGATTTAACTTTAACACCAACAGACCTTTTGTACATCTGAGTATCAGTGTATTCAACTGACTAATTCTTATATCTAACAAGAAAATCAATGCCTTTGAAATAATTAGATTTGGGCTCTTGGGAACCTCAGGGCAGGTAGACAAGGCTTTCTTTACTTAAAATAATTAGATAGAACTATAACCAATCTCCTTGAAAAATCAACTCATCTGTACTGTTTTTTAAACTCTGTTCTCTGAATTGTGTGAAACAATGCCAGGACTGAAATACCCTTACATTTCCATGCTTTTCAAATGCCTTTATAATTTCACGATTTGGAAAATGTACTGTGAGATGAGCTATGCATTCATTTTCCTGATATAGCATGAGAAAAAGAAAATAACTCCCACATACCTTTATCTACCCAAGATGACAGCCAATGAAAAAAGTTTAAGTACTCCAAGCACTTGAAAATATTTCATAAGGAAAAGTCAAACATTTTTTGAAGAACATGTTTGACCAACAACAACAAAATATAGACCTGTAAAATTTTTTCATCCCTCTTCATCCATACTTTTACAAAATCAAAATTCAAAATCAGTCAGTAAGGAATGATAGTTCTCAAGAAATCCTCTGTGCTTCCCTTGTTAAGATTTAATCTCTGGATGGATTATTCTATTATTAGCACCAAATGAATTTCAACAGATGCTAAAAATTCAGAATTCTATTACAGTCATTTGTCCTCTGAATACTTTGTGACTCAACAGCCAGAAGAAGTATGTGTGATGTTTGTTGTACTTACAGGCTTCAATTGATTTGGAAATCTCTGGAAAATGAAAAATTATTCCTGCACATAGAAGTATGGAAGAAGAAGGACAAGTGAGATAAACAGTGTGAGAGTCACTGATAATGCTATCACCAATGTTACTAACCAATGAAACATGCTTATGTAAGCAGAAAACACTCTCTTCGGCAAATCCTAACTTCATGGCTAGGTGACTCTGGTCTTTAATAACTTTTTTACTCTTGAATAACACTGGACATAGAAGACAAACAGCTAAGGATACCATTTATTTTGTAACTAAGAAGGAAAGAGGTAGTTAGCAATAACATTTGACAATCATTTTGACAGCAAACCTAAGTAATGAAAAGGACATATTTATTACTAATATAGAACAAAATTCAAAGCATATGAACCAACACAGTCTACATTCAATAAACTTACTAATGGGAAACTTCTGTATTAACTAGATAACACGTCCTTGTTTTCATTCATGATTTTCTGAGTAACAGGTTCAGATTTCCCATCTCTTCATCTACTTGGGTAACTAACAAAATTCAGTAGGCAAACTAGTAACATTAAGAAAATGACTCTATAATAAATGTTAAAAATATCTAATGGTTGTGGCAGATACCTACTGCACAACCTGTTAAGAATTAAATGTGAACATGTATATTACACATTTAAGAAACTGTAGTCTATGTAATGAACATCAAAGTAAATGCTCTTGTCACTAACAGCTAAACCATATTGTAACTAACAAAGCAAATTGCTATTTAAATTGGTTATGGAGCTAATTGATAAAATAATAAATTGAATGCCTAGAATGTACATAGCACAGTTACTGTAGTTATATTCTACTTAAGAAGAAACCATAAGACTATAAATATTTGCTATCTTTGTACATATGTTACAAATGGTCATAGTCAAATAGGAATAAATAAATAGCATTCAGAAGCAAGTGAGGGTGGGAATGTGGCCTAGGGATAGAATGCTTGCCTTGCATATATGAAGCCCTGGGTTCAGTTCCTCAGTACCACATAAACAGAAAAAGCCAGGAATGGCGCTGTGGCTCAAGCCTTGAGCAAAAGAAGCTCAAAAAAAGAAGCCCCCAGGACTGGCAAAAGAAAAAAAAAGGGAAGAGGAGGAGAAAGAGAAGAAGACGAAGAAAGAAAGAAGAAGGACAAAGAAAGACGGAAGAGGAGGAGGAGGAGGAGGCAGCAGCGGCGGCAGAAGCTGCTGTATAGTCCTACAATGCTATTATTTTCTGATATCATGGTAGAAATTTCAGGATTTTCATGGAAGAAATAGGAGGCTGAGTTCTCTTTAAGTCATATGAGCACTGGACTAATTGTTTAGTGTCAATTACCCAAAAAATGTTTCAATATTTGAAACATTAATCTTTTATTTCCTTCTACTTCTTAAGGCTTTAACAGCACAGCTTCTGAAATGAGATCCTGGGGATGCTTATAGGCCTTTGGCCCAAGAAGAGAGTTAAATCATTAATTTACAATTAACATGTAACAGAATTTTTCCCTGATACTAGAAAGCTCATGCATTGGCATTTTCATTATTAGCAGCTCTTAGTGGTAAGAAATAAAAACATTATGATCTCCCCACTAAGAAATCAGTTACCTTAGGATCAGATGTGAGCAGCTTGAATGCATGATATACTTGAGCTTCTTTTACACCACCTCCAAGGTCCAAGAAGTTGGCTGGCTTCCCACCATTGAGGAAAATGATGTCACAAGTTGCCATGGCCAGTCCTGCCCCATTTACTGTGATATGCAAATAGAATATGAATAAGGGTATGTTGAAGAACTCTGTACAGTCCAAATATTTTTCCTCTCCCCGTGCTGCCCTCATATTATCATTCCAAATCAATTGGTTCCCTTTTAAGAATTGTTTGACCATATGAATTCATATACTTTTTTTTTGGCGGGTAGTGGGGCTTGAACTCTTGGCTTGGGTGCTATCCCTGCGCTCTTTAGCTCAAGGCAAGCGCTCTACCGCTTAAGTCACAGTGCCACTTCCAGTTTTCCAGTTTTTTTTTTTAAATTTATTGGAGATAAGAGTCTTACAGACTTTCCTGCCCAGGCAGGCTTTGAACTGTGATCCTTAGATCTCAGAGCCTCCTGAGTAGCTAGGATTACTGGCTTGAGCCACCGTCAACCAGCGAATTCATATACTTTTGTATAAATGATCAGAATATGGGCATCAAAGAAAAATTAAAAGATGAGAACAGGGAAAAATGTATTAAAAAGTTATCAAGGAGTTCGGAGGAAGATGGCGGAGGAGAAGCTGGAGGGTAAACAAGTTCTCACACAGAAAGCAGTTTTAGTGTTCCAATAAACAGTCCTAGGCTACACAATCTCACCAAGTGTGCCATCACAGTACAGAGAGTTTGGCCGGAGAGGGAAAATCCAGGCAAGGAGACAGATCTGAGCGCTTGCCGGTAGCTGCGGCAGCAGCAGCAGTGGCAGCCGTAGCCACCCTACCTACAGAGAGAGACCGGGTCAAAGGCGCCAGACGTGGTGGGTACACAGATTCTACTCAACACCAGCAAGAACTGATGAGGAACAGATATCTTCATCCTGCAGATCGCAGACCAGAGACGGCCCAGGAACCAAGACTCTGGCATGAGTAGAACCCTGACAGCCTCACTCCTTCTCAGGGAGCAGAGAAGGGAAGGCTGCCCCTCCCCTAACACAGGAGATTTCCATTTTTGATACTGACAAAGGCCCAGCTAAGCAGCTTGCTCCAACTCAAGCCTGGAAGAAAACAAGAGTCATATTTAGCAGGACACAGGCAACATAAGGAATGGGAGTCCAGTGATGTGAGAATAAACACTGAACACCAAATTAAGAAAGTAAAGAAGTTCATACAAGATCTAAAACAAAGCTCCAACAAAGAATTTGAAGCCATCAAAGCCAACCAATTAGAAGGAAAAGAAATAAACAATGAAGTAGAAAGTCTTGGCAGTAGGTTAGACCATGCAGAAGATCGAATATCTGGGATTGAAGACAGCCTAGATATTATAAAGAGCATACAAATATCCAAGACAAATCCAAGAAATATGATAGATCTATTCAACATTTGGAAGACACCATCAGAAGGCCTAATATGAGGATAATGGGTGTAGAGCAGCACCTAGAGACAGAAGTTAATGATCTAGGAAATTTGTTTAACAGGACCCTAGCAGAGAACTTCCCACACATGCAAAAAGATAGGCCTATTCAGATACAAGAAGCTTTTAGAACCCCAAATAGACCAGACCAGAACAGGACATCCAACCAGCACATTATAATCCGCACAGGATCACTTCAGAGCAAGGAAAAGATCCTTAAAGCCAACAAGGAGAAAAGATCAATCACCTATAAAGGGAAACCAATTAGAATAACCTCAGATTTCTCAGCAGAGACAAACAAAGCAAGAAGAGCCTGGAATGATGTATGCCACACCCTAAAGACAAACAACTATAAACCAAGAATACTATACTCAGCTAAACTCTCCTTCATAATGGAAGGTCAAATAAAAACCTTCCATAGCAAAGAAAAACTGAAACAACATATCTCCACCAAACCAGCCCTACTTAATGATGTCCTACGCATACAAAACCAACAAGACCACGATAAAGGTCAAACCCACACCAAAACTGAGAATCCAAGAACCACAGGAAGAACCCAGTTGGTGCAGCCCCCAAGGAGGTGGATAACATGGCAGGAACTACCAAACACCTCTCAGTCCTAATTATAGACATTAACGGAATTAACTCTCCAATTAAGGGACACTGTCTAGTTGGATTAAAAAGCAAGATCCTTCTATCTGCTGCCTTCAGGAGTCACATCTTGCCCATAAAAACAAACACATTTTGAAAGTGAAAAGCTGGAACAAAATCTACCAAGCAAACAGCCCCCATAAACAGGCAGGAGTTGAAATCCTAATATCAGATAAAATAGACCTCAAATTAAAATTAGTGAGAAGAGATAACGAAGGTCGCTACATACTAATTAAGGGATCTTCCCTTCAGGAGGATATTACAATTCTAAATATCTATTTGACAAACAACGGAGCACCCAAATTTATCCAAGAAACACTACTTTCCCTCAAATCCCACATAGAACCAAAGACATTAATTGTTGGGGACTTTAACACACTGATATCCCCAATAAATAGATAAACTCGGCAAAAAAACTCAACAGAGAAACCGCAGACCTAAACAACTGCACAAATCAACTAGATTTAACAGACATCTACTGAATATTTCACCCAGCAGCATCAGAATACACGGTCATCTCAGGATCACACAGAACATTTTCAAAAATAGAGCACATTTTAGGTCACAAAGCAAACTTGTCAAAATTCAGAAACATTGAAGTTATACCTTGCATTCTCTCAGACCACAAAGGAATAAAATTAGAACTCAACACCAAAAGCCACCCAAAAAAGGTCCTGTAATAAAATGGAGGCTAAACAACATACTGTTGAATCACAAGTGAGTCATGGAAATTCAAATGTTCATGATATTCAACAAAAATGAACACACAAAGTACCAGCTCCTCTGGGACACAGCAAAGGCAGTACTCAGAGGCAAGTTTATAGCTCTGAGTTCCAACATCAACAAATTGGAGAGATCTGAAATCAACAATTTAATGAGACATTTGAATCTCCTTGAAAAAGAACAGCAAGATGAACCCCAATCCAGTAGATGGAAAGAAATAATTAAAATTAAATCAGAAGTAAATGAATTAGAATCCAAAAAAAAACCATAGAGAGAATCAACAAAACAAAGAGTTGGTTCTTGGAAAAAATTAACAAAACTGACAGACCCTAAGCCAATCTTATCAGAAAGAGAACACACCCAAATAAACTCAGAGATGAGAATGGAAACATCACCACAGAAACCAACAAGATTCAGAACATTATAAGGGAATACTTCTCAAAACTTTATGCTAATAAGTTTGAGAACTTGACAAAAATGGACCTTTTCCTAGCAAATATCGACATGCCAAAACTAAACCAAGTTAAACCATCTTAACAGGTCCATATCAAGCATTGAAATAGAAACAGCAATAAGAGACCTCCCATCTAAGAAAAGCTCAGGATCAGATGAATTTACAATGGAATTCTACAGGGCCTTCAAAGCAGAACTCACACCAATATTCCTCCAACACTTCAATGAAATTGAAAGAGAAAGTTCACTACTGAACTCATTCTATGAAGCCATCATAACCTTCATCCCAACACTAGGCAGGGACTCCTCAAAGAAAGAGAACTATAGACTCATTTCTTTGATGAACATTGATAAAAAACTTCTCAACAAAATTTTGGCCAACCTACTTCAACAATTCATCCAAAAACCATACACTACAATTAAACAGGATTCATTTCAGGGATGCAAAGCTGGTTCAATATACACAAATCAATTAACATAATTCATCACATCAATAAGAGCAAAGATAAAAAACCACATGGTTATCTCAATAGATACAGAAAAGCTATTTGACAAGATCCAACACCCCTTTATGATGAAGGTTCTGGAAAAATTAGGAATCCAGGGAACATCCCTCAATACAATAAGGATTGTAAATTACAAACCTACAGCCAGCATTATACTTAATGGTAAAAAACTGAAGCCATTTCCTTTTAACTCAGGAACGAGACAAGGATGTCCACTCTCTCCACTTCTCTTCAAGTTAGTATTAGAATGCCTAGCTACAGCAATAAGACAAGATGCAAACATAAAAGGGATCCAAATAGGGAAAGATGAAGTAAAACTCTCCCTCTTTGCAGATGACAAGATCTTGTATTTAAAGAATCCCATGGACTCTACTCCCAAATTATTCAAGCTGATTCAAAACTTTGGCAAAGTAGGAGGGTATAAAAATTAATCCTCAAAAATCAATGGCTTTTCTGTATGCCAACAATGAGAAAAGTGTGGCTGAAATCAGGAAAGCAACTCCATTCGTAATAGCACCACAAAAAATAAAATACCCAGGAATTAACCAAAGAAGTAAAGGACCTCTATGATGAAAACTTTAAAAACTTGAAAAAGGAAATCAAAATAAAACTTACAAAGTGGAAAAACCTCCCATGCTCCTGGATTAGAAGGATCAACATCATGAAAATGGCAATACTTCCCAAGGCCATCTACAAATTCAATGTGATACCTATCAACATTCCCAACGCATTCTTCAAGGAAATAGAAGAGGCAATCCAAAAATTCATATGGAACAATAAAAGACCCCAAATAGCAAAAACAATCCTTACCAGAAAGAACAGTACTGGAGGAATATCAATACCAAATTTCAAACTCTACTACAAAGCCACAGTAATTAAAACAGCTTGGTACTTGCACAAGAACAGACCTCAGGACCAATGGAATAGAATTGAAAACCCAGAAATGAACCTACAGACCTATAGCTATCTAATCTTCCATAAGGGAGCTAAAAAAAATAGAATGGAAGAAAGACAGCCTCTTCAGTAGATGGTGCTGGCAAAATCGGTTAATTACTTGTAGAAAACTAAAGCTAGATCCTTATATATCACCCTGCACCAGAATCCACTCCAAATGGATCAAAGACCTGGGAGTCAAATCAGACACTCTGAAAACATTACAGGATGGAATAGGAGAAACCCTAGGTCTTGTTGGCAAAGGCCAAAATTTTCTTAAAAGAGACCCAGAAACACAACAAATCAAAGAAAGGTTGGATAAATGGTATTGCATGGCAAAGGACATAGCTAGCAAGATCAATAGAAAGCCCACAGATTGGGAGAAGATCTTTACTACCCATACAACGGACAAGGGTCTCATATCTAAAATATACTTGGAACTCAAAAAATTAACCCCCCCAACAACAAATCCTCAAAGAAACAACTGCCCAATAAATAAGTGGGTGAAAGAGTTAAGGAGAATCTTCTTTGAAGAGGAAATAAGGATGGCCAATAGACACGTGAAGAAATGCTCAACCTCTCTAGCCATAAAAGAAATGCAAATCAAAACAACATTGGGATACCACCTCACCCCAGTCAGAATGGCTATAATCAAGAATGCTAATAACAACAGATGCTGGAGGGGATGTGGACAGAAGGGAACCTTACTGCATTATTGGTGGGAGTGTAAACTTGTTCAACCACTTTGGAAAGCAGTATGGAGGTTCCTCAAAAGACTCCACATAGAGCTCCCCTATGACCCAGCAATCCCACTTTTGGGCATTTACCCAAATGATCACAAACAAGACCATACTAAAGCTACCAGCACAACTATGTTTACTGCAGCATTATTTACCATAGCTAAGATATGGAACCAACCCAGATGCCCCTCAGCAGATGAATGGATCAAGAAAATGTGGTATCTATACACAATGGAATTCTATGCCTCCATCAGAAAGAATGACATTTCCCCATTTGTTAGGAAATGGAAAGGCTTGGAAAAAATTATATTAAGTGAAGTAAGTCAGGCCCAAAGAAAGATAGGTCCCATGGTTTCCCTTATTTGTAATTCCTAGTATATTTCTGAGACAAGCAGAAACGGTCAGATAAGTTGAGGTTAGGCAAAATGAACCCCAAGAAAAGGACTTAAATGTTTCTTTCTTTTTTGCTATTGTTTCTACCATATTTATAAGATATTTCTTTGTTGCTTTGTATGTCCCTCCCCCACCCCTGTTTTCACTGTATTTGATGTTGGTATAATTTGTGGAGGGGAAGGGAAAAACAAATTGTTTAAATAGTGATACAGGTGGACCATTGCAACAATGAGATGTTCAAGATGTTATGTTAAAAATGAACTTTACAACTTTGGTGTGTGGGAGGTGTTGGCAGGGAGGGTGATGGGAAAGGATGGGAAGGGATGGGAGGGGGAAACAAAGGAGGAGGCAACAATGCTTGATAAGGAATGTACTCATTACCTTGCCCATGTAATTGTAACCCCTCTATACAGTATTTTCACACACACACACACAAAAAAATAAAGTACTAGCCTTGAGCCTAAAAAAGCTCAGTAACAGTATCCAGGCCCTGAGTTCAAGCCCCGAACCAACAAAATCTACAATTATAATAAAATTAAATAAATAATAAATAAATAAGTAAATCTGTGAGACTTTTTTTTTAATCTCACCATTAACCATCAAAAAGTCAAAAGTAGAACTGTTGCTCATATAGTAGAGCACTAACCTTGAGAATAAAACTCAGGGACAGCACCCAGGCCCTGAGTTCAAGGCCCAAGACCAGTACAAAACAATAAATAAAATTATTAAAAATAAAGAAAATACTTTAAAAAAATGTTATCAAGCTAGGAAACAAGGAAGAGTTAAGAAAGTAACTGATTGGGGTTAATGGTAAAGAGCAAGTTTTAGGTTCTGGAAAACCTAAGGTCGCAGAATTGGCAGAATGAGGAAAAGGCCATTCAAAGTTCTTAGGAATTTGAAAGACCAGAGTAAAAAGTAGAATCCTTTTACAATTTTGGTGGCTGAAAATACACTTGAGTGTGACATCCCTCTGGGTCGAACTACAGGGTCACAACTTCAATAGGGTTTCATACCTTTTTATACATAATGAAAGCACATATGTTTTAAGATGTTATTCTAATGTACTGAGAAAAAAATGATAGCACCAGTACTAATATTCTTATCATTTTACTCTGCTTTACCATAAGAAATGCTCATTGGCAACCCAATGATTAAAACTACAACTTTATACAGTCCTATTTGCCAACATCTTAGGAGCTTTTTCTTAAGGAATTAAGTTCGGAGTTTGACCATTGAAATTCTTATTTTCAAAGATGAAATCCACAGACCAATTGCACTTCATTTCCTTTCTTATGCTTAATTATATATAATGACTTTCCTTAGGCTCCGAAAGAGAAAAATCTCACAAACACAGCAAAAATCTCCAGAAAAATGTCCTTTCCTTTTCCAGACCCTGGAATTCCCTAGATAGTCTATGAACAGTGACTAATTTAATTAAGCCTGAGGCATATAAAAATAGAAATTCTTAAAGCAATTTGAAATGTGTTGATGATAGCATTTGAGGCTTGCTCAAATTATGGACATTCCTACAGAAGATACAAAGAGTCTGTATTTAATTTGTTATAAACACAATTCTGTCTTGCTCCTTTCTCAAATGTCTACAAATATTGAGAGTACTTGGCTTATCAGGAGCAGAATGATGTGGGTGATCTGCTACATTACTGATACTGCTTCAATACACTGCAAGGGTTCTGGTATCACTTGTAATTGGATGTCATTTTCTGTTGTATTGAACTGCAAACTCTCAGATGAGATCTTTTCAGCTCTGAATATAACAATGCTGTTGGTTTAATGAGCAACAAATCTTTTTTATTTTAATTCCATTAAGATGAAAACCTAAGTTTCTAGTGCAATGAATTGTTTCTACCAGAAGCACAATCTTGTGCAATTAAGTTGGAAGTGTATAAATCTCAGCACCATAAGCTGTGGACAATAACCAAGATTGTATTACCTCTATAAACCCATTCTTATCTTAGCTGCGTAAGCTACTTTCACAAATTAAAATGAGTATGATGGAGAATATTGTTTGTTAATAAATTGTCATAATAAATGAAGTATTTTGTCATTTAGCTAACAGAGAATCTAAAAGGGTATAAAAATTACTACAATTTATGTCTTCTTTTTCTGAAAAAGCAATTTTGTTTTAAACCCAAAACAGATCCTGTCATGTGAGCTGACTTGTACAGCCTTTGCTCTAAGTTTTAGCAGTTTAAACAAGACAAGATTTCACAGATGTCTAGAAATGTTGGGGAACTTTTCTCATTGAGTTTGTTTTCACAGCTGGGAACTGTAAAACAGCATAAGCACTGCTGAACATTATACCCAGAACTGTCTCTTACTATCCCACCCCAAATCTCAACAGAGGCAGAGCAGGGAAACCACTTAAATCAGTGATTGTGGATCAAAATGATACTTGGGATTGTAGACTCCAGCTAAAAACAAAACAAATGCAATTATTTGCTACTGGTTACCATTTCAGAAATACAGGGTTTACTAAACACTACAAAAATCCAGAAAACATCTGGGATTATAGCTTAGTGTAGAGTGCTTGCCTAGCATGAATGAGCTCTGGGTTCGATTCCTCAGTACCACATAAACAAAACAAAACAAAAAAATCTAGAAAACAATCTCTTGACATAAATTTTTCTTACCAAAGCAGGCAATGTTGCCATCCAGTCCTATGTATTTTAGATCATACTTGGCAGCTTCATTTTCAATGGGCTCATTCTCAGATTTGTCGTCCATAGCAAATATGTCCTTTTGTCGGAATTCAGCATTATCATCAAAGTTTATCTTTGCATCAAAACAGACAACTAAATAAAGAAAAAAGCAACATATCTGAATAATTCTCAAGGATCTATAAATTAAGTACTGTAAGTTGGAAGGCATAGAAGAACACAAGTAAGCCAGATACCATAATTCTTTCTCAAGCTACAGACAAAAGCAGCTGTTATGATTTTCTTGTCCCTCAACATTTAAGACTATAGACACAAATATGACAAAGCCTTGCTCTTCTTACATTTTAGTAATGAGTAAAGTAGTTTATGTTTGCTGTCTATGGCCAATACAATAACAGAAGTTACTTTCACCTGTTAAAAATCAGATTGGAAAAATACATCTCTAATTTATCATTTTTTATATATTTTGTATTTTCATTATTTGCTGATTATCACCTTTCCATATTATATAAAATAATATATTATCATTTTGGCCTTCCTTTGTCTTTCTGACATTGCAAAATAACATTTTTATTTTATGAATAACTTAATATTCCCAAAGATTTAGACTATTGAGCGAGAAGGCATTTTAATTGATATTTAAATAACTCAAACTTTTATTTAGTTAACCTTAAATAAAAATTAAGTATAACTAAAGTATATAACATAATGCTTTTATATACAAATATACTTTGAAGTAATTATTATAGGGAATAAATTACCTAATTTGCACCTCATAGTTTGAGTAAAAGAATTTGAAATCTAGGTTTTCAGCAATGTTCAAAATATATTACTACCTGTGTGATATTGATAAAAAAATAACCTAATTCATTTTAGGGCATTTTTTTAAAATTTGAGAAATTGATTAAAACAATCACTAGTATATTGAATTACTTGCATTGCAGGCTGCTAAAACTACACCCATGCCCTCAATTTGTGCAAAGCAAACTTAGGACTTCTCAGATTCAAGTTCTAACACACTAAGAAACCAAGATTGGTCTGTTACAATGTCAGGGAGCACAGTACCCGTAACACAGTAAATATCCTCTGCAGCAGGCAGAACTCTGAACATCTTACTGGAAGAGCACATGGCATGGAAAAACTCATCTGGTGACAGGGATAGACCATAGATTTACAGATAGCTTCTATAAGACAATCAGTCGGGGGGAAGGGCAGCATGTTTAGAATCTGGGTTCTAATGCTTTTTTACCTGCTTTAGAGTAGAAACTTGACATCTGAGATACCATGTCATCATAACCTTTTATTACTTAGGATATTGACAGCCAGGAATCTTCAACTAAGCATTTACAGATGTTACCACTTCTCTTCAACTGTCACAGACTGTAGGTTGAACCTGGATACAAATCTGTTTGGAACTGGCATATTAACATCTAGAATTCTAGATATAATATAAATCCAGACCACAAATTATTTAAAGGAAAGCTAATAATAGTGTATCTTACATGGAAGTTAGTGTCTGTACAAATACTTAATTTGCCAAAAAATGCCCACTTGCCCCCACACAGAGAATTCATGGAGTGGATGAGTAATTACTTCCCAGAACACAGAAATCATAATGATGGAATCCTACAATTACCAAAGGAATTGGCAATGTACTATGCTTGCTACAATGGCATTTTCTCAGCAGTTAATGACCAGCATAGTAATCAATAGAAAAGCTACTTCATTCTTGGCTTTCTAGTGGGTTTATAAATACATTCTAATTAATTTATTAGTAATTTTAGCTCCTCCATAATTCACTGGCAAGACTACTTCTGACACCTTCAAAATGAATGGGCAAAGGCTATCAAATTGACTTTCTAAGTAAAGAGTTTTGAATAAAAGAATTCTTGGTCAAGATCGATAAGCCAGTAAATCAAAATAGTTCCAAGCTAATCTTTGCCCCTTATAAATACTACGGTTACAAGCTGCTAGAGAGAAAGGATAATTAATGGATATGTATGCAAAGTTCAGAAGGCAGACCCAACCAAATGTCTGCAAAACCAATTTTTCAAAAGATATTTTCCAGTGATATGACACAAATGCCAAGTTTAGAAATGAGCTCACTATTGGGTGAACACCAGAAACAACCCCAGAGCTAACCCAGAACTTGAAGTGGGGCTTTTGTATGAAAGGAGGGTGTCTCCAATGTCCCCTTATCTTGTGTATCTTCTCTGTAGGAAAAAAACTAAACAGATAAGTCGATATATATGTAAATACAAGACCTTTGGTAAAATAAAGATATTACAGAAATATGAAGGTAACTAAGTAGATTAGGAGTTAAGAAAGGGGGTTCAGAGCTGGGTATTGAAGTACATGATTGTAATACTAACACACATAGGAGACTGAAGCAGGTAGCTCTCAGGATGGAGGCCAGCAAATAATCAAAAATACTAAATAGCTACCCTGAAGTTCTAAATCTATTTGGGGGGGGGATTAGAGACTCTCTTAGATACATAGTTACATGTTTTTAAAATTTTTAATCAATGATATACAACTTAAAACAAAATAATCCATTTTGGTCTTTATCCCCAATTCTTGGCACAAAGATCCTTAGAGTTGTAATTTTTTAAACAACAGGGTTACTAAGTGGATGTTTCAATTAATATTTGGATTTTGATTCTGTATCCAACACTGAGCTCTTAATCCCTTGAAAGGCCCTGGGAGGTATTTATATCCTCTAAAATATCCTTTGTAAGAAACTGGTAGTAAGTATCAAGGAACAGAACTTGATGAGAGAGGACTTGTGAGAACCCCAATTTATAGCTGGTTAGCCAGGAGAACTAGACTCAGGCTTATGATTAGCATGAGAAGTGGGGGAAAAATCTTACAAGACCAAGCCCTAATGTATGAGATCTGATGCAAATATAGGCAGCATAGGAACTTAATTGAATCACAAGACATTGCTGGTATCAGAGAAACATTGTAGGAAAATCTCACACAATGAGTTCCAGCGGTATTCAGATTGGTGACGGCATAGGAGGAGAAAACAGTTTATTCCTTAATATTATACACAAGCTAAGCACAAAAAGTACTCTTTGCTTTACTAGCTCAGTAAATGTCACTTCATTGTCTTTGCTTGAACTTGAACACTCAGCATAGACTCTGGTGTCAAAAAAATCTAAAGCATAAATTACTAGGTACTTCTTGGCCACAAAGCCTTTGGCATATAACTTTTGCCCAGTGGCCTTGTATATAAAATGGGGCTCAGAGAGATTAGTACTTTATGGTGGTGTTTTAAGAGACTATATGCCAAACACTTATCTTCTCAGAAAGCAGACATTCAAGAGGGAGCACTACTATCAACACTAATCTCCTTAGCCATAGTGTTGATTTTCACACTTACAGCTCCTTCTATGGAGTTGTCTTCTCATCCTATCACTAAAACTTACCTGTCATTTTCCATTCCCATAATAATCCCAGATGTCTTTTAGAGTCAATATAAATCAATGACTACTGGTGTTTAAGTATATATAGGGTATCTACAGTATTCAATTAAAGCTATCTTCTGAACAAATAAAAATTGTCCCAAAGGAAGAATTTTAATGAGTGGCAGTTTTAGCATCATAACTGACAGAGAAAGAGACTTTTGACTATCACAGGAGGGTAAGAGAGGACTTTGATGACTCTAAAATCATACTATACCTTTGTATAAGGCTACAAAAGCTAAAGATCAGTATTTTTTTTAAAGTACCTCATGAGGATTGGAGCCAAAGGTTGCAAGGTATGTATCTCAGGTCAACTCTTGGATTGTTTCTGAACCTAACAAAATAGCTACATTCTTATCATCCTCTGCTGTCTTCTAAAACAACAACAGAGTGAATAACTGCAGTAGAGAGAGACTATTAGGCAAACAACTTCAAAATATTTTCTATCTGGCATTTTACAGACAATATTTGCAAAGCCCTACTAAGCCACATTTCTCACCAAATCTAAATCCTACTGTAGTCAACTGAAACAGGACATGACCACAGGTGGTATATTTTTTATGGTGCAGAAGTGGAGAATAAATATAATAAGCAAAATAAAAGCTATACAACAGAGTAAATATATCACTGAATACTGACTGAATCTTGCATTTTCCCCCCTATAACACACTTCCAAATGCACTTGAAGAACTAATCTGTTAAAGATGGACTGATGTCTATGTCAACAACAGGACAATAAAAGTAGCTTTCTTGTTCAAAAAGACAGCAAACAACTATGATAAAATGTACTTTTGGAGATGCAGTCTAGATCACGCATTAATATTTTCAATGTCAAATTAATGAAACCTCAATTTTACAGAAAATTCATCTTGAACAAAGGCCATCCTGTGTACAAAGTGGGAAGAAAAAAACATACCTATTAATATTTATAAAACAATTTTCACCATCAAAAGCACATTGTTACACGCTTGATAGATTATACAAATGAATTTTCCTTCTGAACAAATATCAAAGAAACCTGTGGTACTTATATTCATAGGGTGTTTTTGTTACTTTGTTTAGTGGTGTGAGATTTGGCAACCTGCTAATTCAACCACCTTGATGGAGACCATGAATGGCAGTTAGAGGCCTCTGACCCCAGTTTCAACAGAAGAATGTACCACGGAGTTAAACAAAAGAAAAATACATTTCAGAGGGGAGACTTACACATAAAAGAAACATAAAAACAGCAGGAAGTAAGACTGTCATAATTAGTTTGGAAAATAATCTGTCTTCAAGCAATGTGCTATGTTTGATTTGTGATAAATAACTATAATGTGCTATTGAAATGTGCTTTGCCAAGATGGCCTTTAAAATGCTGATACTTAAAAATTAGCTGCACTTTCCATTAAATATTGATGTTTCAAGAGTTGTACACTTTTTAGAACTTTGAGTTGCTGTGAAAAGAGAAAACAGACATGGGGCAGGGAGTGTGGGGGGAAGTAGGGAACTGAAAATGTTCTTGAAAATAGTCTCGTGTATAAAGAGAGGAACAGAGGAACACCCACCAACAACATGGGCACTTGCTAGCATGAAGCAACAAGATGGTTATTTATGGAAATCAATCAAAAGAAAGGAAAGAATTTGATATGCCAGATAACTTTGGTTACCAAGCCTTAATTTTCGGGATCTTAGCCCCACACTCCCTGTTTCAAATTGGATCTCCTTAAGTTCAATGGATGTATTCGTCTGCCATAAATGAAGGTTTGTCAGCAAGAACCCTTAATCTGTGGACTACGTATACATTGAATGGTATTCTCTGAGCAAAACAACACATTTAGCAACCTCTCTGGCCTCTACTTAGGAGGAATCAACAGCACCATTCTCAGATTATGGTAACTATAAGCATGCCCAGATACTGCCAAATATCCCCTGAGGTACAAAATGTCTTTAACATCTGAGTACCACTTGCTTTAAACAGACCTATGAAAGAAGCCTGCATGCAGTCAGAGCTAGCTGAAAATAGGAAAAAAATAAAATGACGTAAAAATCCCCGTGGCTTACAAAATAAACATATGAATAAAGCAAGTAGGTAAGTGAATAGAATAAACATTGTTCTTAGTTGGCCACAAATTTTATGAATAAATTTTGGATGGCAGGTGAATAAGCAATAAAAATACAATTTCCTGTTGATTATTTAAGAGGCAGTTTACCACTTTTCAGGAAAGGCTGGACATGTGTTTGTGCAGTGTCCCTTTTGCCAATGGGAAATGGGCATCTCTTCAATATTATAGAATCCTTGTTCAGTGAATGGCCTAGAGTAGATATGTGACCTAAGCAGGGCTTAGAACCCCTTAAGGGGTTTCTATACTTGCTAGTGAAAAGGGACAAACACTGGTGGCCATCTTTGCCAGCAACTGCAGAGTCTGCCTGAGGAAGAACAATCCTCATGAAAGCAGGGCTGAACCTCCTTTTAGCTTAGTGAATGGATCTGGGCTTCACAGCAGAACACTGAGAGAACAGAACAGAGAAATGGGAGAATTCGTTCATTCTTTTCAGGCCTTAAGCTAGACCATAACTTAGACTTTCTCTTGAACAAGTAAAATAAACCCCCTCCCACTTTTAAACAAAAACGAGCCAAGGTTAGGATTCTGTAGGTCACTAGCAACCTTTATAGCTCAGAGTCACTAAAATACACTAAGTTAATAGGGTCAAATTACATTCTTTGAATCAAATAGTCAATCATATTGGAAAAAGAACTTCTTAGACTATAGTTCTTTCTCTGTGTCAAATGCTCCCCATAGTGACTCTGACTTAAAAATAGTATCAAGGCCATTGCTCTTCTTTCACCTAAGCATTATGAAAACGTAAAATAAACTTTTTTTTAACCTTCCTCATTGAAGTAATGAAAGATTGAGAACAATTCTACAGAGAGATGGTGTAATGAGTATCTTTAAAGCCAAAATATTTGGTGTGATGTAGAAATTTAACACTAAAATTGTAAGAATAGTTATTCAATCGAGGTTCTGATGTGAAAGTTTTAATGTAAAGTCTCTGTTATTACTGATCTAACCAGAAATACATGTTTAAATTATAAACATTAAGATAATAAATATTGCTAAGATATAAATGACTGCTTTTATAGTTTCCAAATAAAGGATTGCTTTAGGGGATGGTGACAATGATGAAGATCAATTTGTACATGTGGTCATTAATCACTATTTCCTAATTGGGTTTAATTTGACTACTGCTCATTAGAGTTATAAACTAACACTCTCATTTAATTGTGATTATAATTCAATAGCCAAACTTTTATGGTACAATGAGCAAATTAATAGCTAAAGATAATTTTGCTCTTAAAATATCATGTAAGACTTTTGCTTTAATGAACTATATTTACAGAATATGTTCTTGTGATGATTCCTTCAAAATAACTCAACTTTTTCCTGTCTTCATAACTAAAAAAAAAATTCAGGCTTCACAAGGATTGTAAACACTCTCTAAGAAAAGGTTCTTGCACCCAATTCTTGCTGCCAGACAAGGGCTTGTGGTTATTTCCTAAAGAGTTGGATAAAAATAGTCATAAGCCCGATTGCTATCCCACTCAGTAGCTTGTTTTCTTCTTTTAAAAAGACAAAAAATAAAAGATAAAATAACCAGGCTGCTTGTGCATACTAGTTTGAAACCTCATATAATATATATGACCTTTAAGAACTTTTATACTGAACTTTTTCATTTTCAGGTTACATTATTGACCACTAAATGCAGCATGAATTTTGACTGGTAGACTAAACTATTTCTGAGACACTCTGATAAAAGCAAAATAGTAGTTTAAAAGAGTAAAAGTAGAAATGAAGTCATTTCATCCGAGATCAGTCTGCATAAAAGAATTACATACACACTGGACTTAAGAGACATGGGTTCTAATTCCACCTCCCATACTAATTGCCCTTGGGAAGGGGGAGTGTCAAACTAACTTGCATTTCCTACAAAATGAGAATAATATCTTCTAACTTTGCAGGGTTATAGTCAAGAATTAAAATATCCTGGCTGGGAAGGTAGCTCAGTGGTAGAGCGCTTGCCTTGCATGCATGAGGCCCTGGGTTTGATTCCTCAGCACCACATAAGCAAAAAGAAAAAAGAAGCTGGAAGTGGCGCTGTGGCTCAAATGGTAGAGTGCTAGCCTTGAGCTGAAGAGCTGAGGGACAGCGCCCAGGCCCAGAGTTCAGGCCCCCCGACCAGACCCAAAAATAAAATAAAATATCCTGGTAAGTATCTGCCCAGTGAGTTATTAAACAGTTTCTACCTCTTCCCTTCCTCTTTATATGAAATGCTGATGAATTTATAGCCATATCAATTAAAAATAATTTTATTGAATAAAGGTATTTTGCATATAAATAACCTAGCACACATTCTTTAATATTTTTAAGTAGTTGTACAAAGGAGTTGTCATTCAACAGAGCAGTTTATGAATACAGTATCTGATGATTATCTGTGTGAACTGTGTACCACTCTTTCCAATGGCTTTCAAAGCACTGTTTCTTAGATACCTGTTGAACTGAGAAGTGGAAACTTCATATTATGAATTTTGTGTCTGACAAGGATGTTTACATATATATCAATTCACTCTATTTTTACACATGTTTTATTTTAGTTTCTATTTTTAGTTTAAAAAAATCTGAGGTGTAGGCAAGCTATATCCCCATAACCAGAACATAGCAGGTCCAAATTTTGTACCTAGGCCTAGCTTTCCAGAGACAAGATATGTTGGCTTTTCTGGTCTGACTACAGAATTTCTGCTATGGAGAATTATCATACACACACCTTGGCCCCAACTTGATGATTTTCCCTTGCACATGCACACACACACACACACACACACACACACACACACACACAACTTCATTTATCAATTCATTGGCAAATCCCCATTTGTTGACTGTCCATATTATGATAGACTTGGGCTGCATGTGAAACATACTCCAAAAGAAAAAAAAGATTTTTGGAACTTATACCTTGGAATCACTATCCTAACCAGACGTTATTCTAGTCCTATCCATGTTTCAGCTATGAAATTAATAAGGATGAATGAGTACTAGCTCTATTCAAGACAGTGCAGTGGTGGTGAGTTGTTCTGGAATATAAAACATCTACTTATATTATATTTATATTATAAAGTTCTTCATGGACTAGAGAAACCTTCCACATAAAAATATGCACTCCTGCTGGGCACTGGTGTCTCACCCTATAATCAGAGCTACTCTAGAGGCTGAGATCTGAAGATCGCAGTTCAAAGCCAGCCCGGGCAGGAAAGCCTGTGTGATTCTTAGCTCCAATAAACCACTCAAAACACAGGAAGTGGCACTGTGGCTCAAGTGGTAGAGCACTAGCCTTGAGCTGAAGAGCTGAGGGACAATGCCAGGCCCAAAGTTCCAGTCCCACGATCTACCCAAAAACAAAAACAAAAAACAAACAAACAAAAAAAGCACTCTTCCTACTTGAAGAAGAAGCTACCAACCAAATAAGGTGAGAGAGTTCAGCTGTAAATGTGGCTTTACTAAGATGCAGGACACCAAGATGAACATAGGGCAAAAAATAACTTTATATACAAATTTAGGCAAATTAAAAAGCTTTAAAAAGTTCTGATAAACAGAGATGTACTAAGTACACCCAGGCACAATGGCACCCCCTTCCGCCCAAATCTCTGTATTACAGGCAGCAGAGACATCTGAAAAAACAAAAGGCTAATGGGGGGGGGGATAGAAAAACCAGAAGTTATCTTCCTTTCAGGTTTACCATTTGCCTATAAACAAAATGCAAGTGCTGAAATGTGTATCATCATCACAGGAACATTTGAAACTGCAGCAGAAATTAAATTACTGAAAGAAACTAATGCAGAGCTGCCACTACAGTCTACTGTACAATTTAGTTTATAGTTTACACAAATAATTGTAACATATTCATTTGTTTTTCTCTCTGATTTTTTTACCTTGTCCTTCTGGAGTTTCACCAAAGGGATTCACTTCCACCTGAGTAGCATCAACTTTCAGGAAGAGATTATACAGCTTCTTAATTTGATCTGCAGCCTAAATGTGATCAAGTGAAACACAATTACGCCAAAGCAGTAAAAGAAAATTTGTGTTGCTCAATTAATGAAAGCTTAAAAATAGCAGATTATGTCTTTATTTTCAGTGAAGTTTTCTGAGGGGAAAAAAGTCTTCCCTTGGTTGAAGCAGAAAAGCATAATTATTTTAATTTCCACAGCTATTCATTAGAAGGAATTGCTCAAGTTTCCTCCAGACACCAGAAGAGAACATTATCAAGAAAACAAAATATTTTCAATACAGTTTAAAAACGTGATTAATCTTCTTGTAAATTATCATGTCCCTATTAGTCAAGTTGGAACACAATATAAGCTACAATCATTAATACAACAAGCCCCATTTAAGTAAAAGATAAACATGATTTTGAGAGCTTATAATGACTAGGCTTTCCTTATTATGCTGGAATAAAACAGTTATTATATTCATCAATTGGAGCCCCAAATCTGTGAAACAACAATTACAGAATATCTAAAAGGAAACGCTGCAAGGCAAGAAGATGAAAGTCTCCCACATGGTATATTTTCAGAATAGCACAGTTCGAGTTGAAAATAGTTTGTCTCAAGGGCATACACTACAAAGGGCAGGAATATCCAAGGTTTGCCTACTCCTTTATCCCTGACTTTGTTCTTTTCAGGATGCTTACAGATCATTTCTTCATCTTTCCCAATTCACAGTTATTCACTACCTGTAACAGCAGGATCATACTGTGTGGACTGGGGCTTGGGATAGCATGTGAACCACAGCTGAATAAAGGTATCAGTCTGACTCTCGGTTCTGTTTTATTTTCAAGTCCTCATTACCACCTTCACTGTTTACTGTGCCAACACTGCAGTATTTGCCATCACATCCATCTGGGCCCTTTCCAATCTTTACTATGACACCAGGGGAGCTAAAACCTACCTTCTGAGTTTTAAGGTTGACGCTCAGTTGACTTTCAACTCCTGTTAGCCAACAGAATGCCATGGTTAGGGATTGACAGTAGGAGGAAGAGAAAAGCCCGTGGGTTTTGGGCAGACTCCCTTCTATCTGTACCTTCCACCAAAGGGCGCTCCCAAGTGCCAGCTACTGAATCCCAAAGCCAGGTCAAACCAATGCCTCAACTTTTCAGAACACATGGATAGTAACAATTTCCTGTTGCTTTTATAGCTCTGGGCCTCTTGGTTTAATCTTAAGATTCTCAGATGATGCCATGCCTATGTAATAAACTTTCTACTAGGGTCAATACTGAAAGTGGTTCCACTTTTAAATAAAGAAATTCTGTACTTCACTTAATATAATTTTTTCCAAGTCTTTCCATTTCCTAACAAATGGAGCAATGGCATTCTTTCTGATGGAGAAATAGAATTCCATTGTGTATTGATGTTGGTATAAGTTGGGGAGCAGAAGGGAAAAAACAAATTGTTTAAATAGGGATACAGGTTGACTCATTGCAACAATGAGATGTACAAAACACTACGTCAAAAAATGAACTTTACAATTTAGGCAGGGGGAGGGGAGGACAGGGGGGGAGCGAGGCGGGAATGGATCAATTGAGACCATTGAGTAAACTCCCATTAAAAAGCCAGATGTTTAACAATTACTTCTTCAGTGCCTTTCTGCTTTATGACAAATTTTCTTTAGATTAAAAAAAGATTAACATTAAATAAAGGAAAATTAAAAGTAGCTAGGAAAAATGGGAGAATTCTCAGACTGAGATTCCTCTTTTGATAGGATGACATTAAGGCAGAAACCATGAATAAATAGTAGTAACATGAGTCTTAACTAGATTTGCATTTCGCAAAAGTAACACATGACCAAAAGATAGATGTTAAAGGAGAAAAATGCTTTCAACTTACATGAAGTATATAAAGTATATAAAGCAAATTTTCTTCACATATAAACAATTCCTTTGAGATAGTTCTTTAACAAAAAAGGCCAACATCTCAACAGGATAATGGGTCAAACTTATATAAAAGACTGTAGTTTTGTTTTTTTTTTTTTTGGTTGGTCGTGGGGCTTGAACTCTGGGCTTGGGCGCTGTCCTTGCGCTCTTCAGCTCAAGGTGAGCACTCTACTGCTTGAGCCACAGGGCCACTTCCAGTTTTCTAGTGGTTTATTGGAGATAAGAGTCTCATGGATTTTGCTGCCTGGGCTGGCTTTGAACCATGATCCTCAGATCTCAGCCTCCTAAGTAGCTAGATCATAGGCGTGAGCCACCAGCACCCAGCTGTAGATTTTTTTTTAAGAGTACAGAATAATGTTCAGACTCATCTAAAGTAAAAGAGATTCTCATTAAAGCTGTATGAAAAAACCTGTATTCACTCACCACACTGGACAAGTTCCAGGTATGAATGGAAAAAGTCTCTCTCACACTTTTGTGTGGGAGGGGAATTTAGGGATAGCTTGCTTATACCAACAGCAGTTTAACATCATTTTTTGATATTTAAAATATTTTGGGGGGTAACAATGTTCAACAGAAATGTATTCATTACCTTACTTATGTAACTGTAACCCCTATGTATATCACCCTTACAATAAAATATGTTTGCTCTACTCTGAGATTTATCCTACAAATAGTCAAATGTATGATATACCTACAGAAACATACAAGGCAGTATTGTTAAGTAATGTCAAACTTTTGGAAACATCTAAAAGGTTATGTAGTTAAGTGATAATTCAAGTAAATTATGGTATATCATAAGATAGGATGGTGACAAAAGAATAAGCTACACTCAATGGTCTCAATTGCTCCATCCACCTCAGCCTTATGAGTAGCTAGAATAACAGACATGTGCCTGCATGCTCAACTTATATTTCTGTATGAGGAAGGGATTCCTTAGGTTATCTCTTGAATATAGCATCATGAGAGAGGTACTCTGTCATTATTGACATCATGATACACACTATATTTACATAGCATCTGCCTGGAGTTCATATTTAATAAATACCTGCTGAATTAATTAGTTAACAATAAGGGGAGACTATCTAATGAAAATAACTTTGATTAAACAAGTATGTAAATCTATTCCAACTACTTCAAAAGTATCTTAGTGAATAACTATGGCAAAATACTCAGAACATAAAATTCACAATGGTTTCTAAGAGCACATGAAATATATGCACACTACTGTGTAACTTCTCTCCACAGCTTTTGCATTTTTCCATAGAAACACTACATTCAAGGGCAGACTTCTATAGTTAAAATGTCTTATTCCCTCAGTACCTCTTAGAGGAGCTGAATCCCATGGCTGAATACTGATGGCTTTATATACAACAATAACAAAGTTATTATGTAGATAAATCCTTCATCTATAGATGTCTATGTGGGTATCATCAAAACCTCTTAAGCCTATATAAACTTAACATGAAGCTTGAATAATTTGCATATTAATGCCATTGCCATTACACTTTGCCCCAACATTTTGAATGGTGTTTGGCTATTTTATTATTGTGTCAAAGACAGACTATAACCATTTTGTAAGCAGGGTGAAGTGTGGTTAGCTCTGTGTGGTAAGTTCTACAAAAGCAAACTCATGTAAGATACTTTACTCCAGAGATCAGAACCCGACTGGCAGAATGTGTCCATCTGACTAGTATAATAAGATGGAAATCTGGGGCCTGTGTAACATTGAGAGTTTTGCTACTTCTTCCTCACAGTGTTCAAATGTCGCAAACAAACTAAATACAGGTGAAAGGAAACAATGATCAACTCACAGCCAGCTGTTAACTACTGTAATCTACTTACTCAGATCCTCCAAACTACATAAACAGAGGATCTTCCTTTCCTATTGCTAATTAATGTTATTTTAAGGTTGCTTGTACAGCAATTTACAATTTAAATCTTTAAAACCAAATATATATGTATGCAAAACCTTGACAAGTTTAAAAGTATCTTAAAAATTAATTTAGCAAGTTACAGATTTTCAAGTGCTTTTATTGCATTTTAGAAAATAATAACATTCACATGTTTCTCAAAGCCAGAGATACAAGGTGCTCGGGACATGAGAGTGATCCTATACCAACTTTGCCCTGATCCATCACATCAAGTCATATGGCCAAATACTAGAGGCATTTGTGGTTTGAAAAAGAAATAGTATAGTCTCACCTTGCCCTTCACTTAGCCACCAGCCATGTTCAAAGCCAACCCCAGTCTGAAAATACAGTATAATATACTACGCCCGGATATTCTGATGCAGAGACCACATTTACATAACTTTTATTATGTTATATTGCCACAATTATTCTTTTGTTAATCTCTTCCTAGATATGAATTATAAATGAAATTTTAACATGGATATGTAATTGTAAAACAAAATAAAAGTATACATTGTTCTGTACTAACCTGGGGGTGGGGGAAGGGAATGTAGTTGTAGGATGGGAGGGAAGGGATGGGAGGGGGAAAACAAAGGAGGAGGCAACAATGCTTGATAAGAAATGTACTCAGTACCTTGTTCATTGTAATCCCTCTGTACAGTATTTTCACAACCAAAAAAAAACATTAAAAAATAATAATAGTAAAAGATCCACAGAGGATCTTGGAATGTATAAGCAGGTCTACTGGCAATAAAAACAACTTGACAGCTTTTGTGTAAGATGAAAGGTCAGTTCAGAGACCACAGACATGAGTCACAGGAAAAGCATAAATCATTTTAAACCACAATCATTTTTCATTGTTCATTCAGGAGGGAACTATTTCCAAAAGCTTAAACTATATCCTCAATGAAATTTAAGTAACTTTGAAAGTAACAATGTATCTCACAATCGTCTAAAATACTACTTCATTTTTTGAATGTACTAATTTTGTGTGTGTTGTGTGTTATGTGTGTGTGAACTCTGAGCCTTGCACTCTCCTTCAGCTTTTCCACTCAAAGCTGGCTTTCTACTACTTGAGCCATGCCTCCAGTTCAGCTTATTTTGCTGGTTAAATGGAGATAGAGTCCCATGGACTTGTCTGTACAAGGTAGCTTCAAATAGTGATCCTCAGATCCTCAGCTCCAGGGAGT